CAAGAGCAACTAGAGAAGTAGATCAAAGTCTCTGCCTCAACTGATAAGAAAGTTTCAGAAGCAGACAACAGAAGCCTGTCAGCTTGCATACAGCTCGCTGCCTAGGATTTAATACAGGACGACCATTATTGTGAAAAGCTACGGACTGATTCTATGGCCAAAATCTTGAGCTATGATTCATGTTCAGCCATTTCCAGCTGTCCTTCTATGAACTGGCATATGTCTTCATTTCTCTCCAATTCATCTTCCCTTAAAGAATCAGGAGTACTACATTTAACACTAGAAGATAAGCTTGTGCTTCCCTAAGAGATAGCTTGTTGGAGTAATTTCATTTTATAAGCACAATGCATGAAAATGTAAGAGTCCTCATTACATATTTAGAAAGATTTTGAACAGAAAACGCAAGGGAAGGAAACAGAACTTCTCCACGTGCATCCAAAGACACTGCAGGAACCCTACAGGAAGGCAAGCAGACAGTCCTACGCAGAGGCCCTGCTATTTCACTAGGACAGCATGTCTATCCTTCAACACATTCAACGGATTGCCTTTGAGTTTTAAAGGACAAAAGTGAAACCTGTATCTGAAATCAAGCACGTACATTTAGCCCTTTTTAATATCAAGTTTAGAAATAATTCCGCAACTTAAACAAGCGCCACAGGGAAACATCTTAGTAATGTTACATGTTTGCCAAGTATGTCTGAATAATGCCAACATAAGAGGTGCTTTTGCAAGGTCTACATTCTCCAGGAAAAAAAAAAACAAAAACAAAACAAAAATAAAGCACATGAATTTGGGGTTGAGGTTGGAATAGGAGACAGTTCAGACCTGGTTTAATCCTGAGAAAGATGGGTCCTGAGAAGTACTAACAGTCATGCTTCTTTTCCTCTTCCCCACTGGAGATTCTAAACACTGAACAAACAATAGAGGGTGGCAGTGCATCAAACAGTATTGCTTACATTGCAACAATGGCCGGCGCAGACAGGCAACACCGAGGCGTTTGAGAAAGAACAGGGTAGCCAAATGCCATCCTTCTTCCACCAAGCACTGTACTTTTCAAAAAACTATGTATGTTCATGGTTTTTTTTGTGGGTTTGGTTTTTTTTTTCCAAGGATAAAATTTGAAAGATGTGACAAGGTAAATTTCAAGTGTGAGCCACTCCAAAATGGCACTGCCTTAACCAGGGATAGCAATGGTGACATTTGGCTCTATTAAAAAAGGAAATTGAAGTTTGCTTACAAAAGCATCCTTTGGTTCCACAAACTGCCCTTCCCCCAAAAGACATTTAGAAAAAGTAAATCTTCAGTAAGGAAGAGGTAGAAGGCATTTAGTCACCTTAAAGTTTACTTTCATAAGCATGCAGGGCTTATTTCTAGCATAGCTGAAAATTCATCTTTTAAGGTGGGAGCAAAATTTCTCCCAATCACCAAATTAAAATTTGAAAAAAGTCAATTTTTTTTTTTAAATATAACTGACAGGAAGCTACTGGAACAAGATTACCAATGCTATTCTAGTCTTTGTGGCTGATTTTCTTTAATCTGTGTATAGTAATCTCTAAAAAACCCCAAACTAAGCTTAGTTACAAAAAGAAACAAAGTAAATACTGTGTGGTTGCAAGTGTTCCCTAGATAAATCACTTGGTTCCAAATTGAAGCAACCAATTCCTCATTTTGCTCAAAACCTATCAATTTGCACTTCTCTCACGAACTACCTCACTCAGCTCTAAAACCCTGCAACAGTAGTGAAGCCCATGCCCACACAAAGTGTTTACCACCATAACACTGCATGGCTTCCCAACTAGTCTACTAATGGAAAAAAATATATTGGTTTACAGGCAATTTTGTTTTTCATTTCAGCTGATGCAAATCTAATGTGTTCCTCCACTAAAGTAAGCACAGCAGCAATTTCTAGGCCATTAATCCACATCAAGATGAAACAGAGTGCAGCAATGCCAACGTAGCATGACTGTGCAAAAGTATAGAAAAATGGCCCAAAAAGAACAGTTAGAAATCAGAAACTAAAACTAGGAAAAAAAATTAAAGTTTTCAAGTTAAGTCATGCCAGAAAATTAAGGAGCCTAACTGCTCGACATAGCAGAGAAAAATAGAGCTCTACAGAGTTAAAGTATGAAACTTGGGAACAAGCAAAGTTTAACAGCAACAGGATTACATAAAGACTGCCTTTCAGCTAGACTTACAAACTTATCCAACATTGGCTGTATCTAAACACTCAGTGCACTGCACCTCTTCAGACAAGAGCTGTTATCTCATGTTAATCAAGCTTTCCCCTTCTAATGTTCAGGGCCCTGAAGTTGGCATTCATACAGGCAAACAAAGGTAAACATTTTAAATACTAGTAGTGCCTAAAGAAATGAGACGTTCTCAGATGGCATATAGAGAAGATAAGTGGGAATCTTGCTTCCAATAAACAGCTTGATCACATACATTTGTCCTGAAGTTAATTTCTATTAAGTAGCATGCTTAATGCATTGCCAATGCTGCCTGTCTGCCCGAGCTCAACATACAAATTGCAGGATTAAGCATATTTCACTCAAGAGACTAAAAATAAAATAAAAGTTTTCTTCTATGTAAGGTTTTCAACAGGAAACATGCACTTCTGACTACATTTACCCATCCAAACAAGTGCAACATGTTGTAAAAAATATTCAGGTACTCTAAAACTTAACAGTTTTCCATCAACACATTTGCATAATTTCATTTATTTATAAAGGCAATTGATCTACATGTTGGCTATTAAGTCACATCCACGGTTCTGATGGCTGAAGAGTTCTCTTTACCAGTCTGTCACTGCAAGATTTAACACCCTGATGACTAGTAGGTCAGGAGCTCCCACGTTGGCATGAATTCTTTTCATCTCAGGAAGTCAGGCCCAAAGCCAAAGAGAAGATTTGACTTTAACATTGAGGAAAAAAAATGCTATTACAACAGTCATCTCTATAATGAAACTCCACCACTGAGAAAAGTACCTAAGTATTCTCTAGGGTTAGTTTATAATCTTGTTGCAAGCCTAGACACCATCTTGCAATCAAGTGCATCTCACAGGGTGGGTCAGAGACCCATATGTGTACGCCACTGCATTTAAAGTGGACACTGAGAAATGCAAGTTCTCATATCAAAGAACCATGGTTTAGCATCTGAAACATCAGTTTTAACAGTGAGTCTTCAAAGGACTGTGCAATTTGAATCAAGTAACATAGCCATTCCCTTTGGATCTTTTAAACAAAGAGCATTAGACTAACCTTATTACAGTGACGCCCAATACCCATTAGGAAGTTATCTGGCTTAATGTCTCTGTGTATAAAATTCTTTGTGTGCACATATTCAATTCTACTGATCATCTGTAAAAAAAAAAGCAACAACAAAACAGGTAAGATTTCAATGAGTGCAATACAATTACTTAAATCTTCAATGAAAGCATGAATTTTTAGTGGTACCTTCCTCTGCAACTTACATATTTGCTTAATGAAAACCAAGTCTTTTTTTATGCTGTTCAAATAAATTTATCTTTCTTACATGTTAGAATTCCATAATTTTAGCCAGGAAATGGTAGATTAAATACCTGAAACTATTTCCCAGACATTCGAGTTCTTGTTCTAACTACAATGTCCCATTAAAGAGTAATTTCTTTTTCTTACTTCACACAGAGGTTTTCTATACCTACCAGAAGACAATTTTAAAGCTCATTCCCTCCCCCATCCCAGTTATTCATTAATCTGGTTATTCACTCAAACATCACTTTTCCAGGTAGTCGTTTTCATGGAGCAAGTAACAGCTTGATGGTGGCCCATACTGTCATATCTAGGCTACCGTGATCCAGGAACAACAGTCAGCAATGAAGATGCAGAGAAACTCTGGCACATCTGTATCATCGTATATGGTCATGCAATTTCCTGTGCGTGAGATCACAGCATATGCATTTATGTGACATAGCTTTCCAGCTACTCAAACACTCCTTACGCAGTCTTCAGTGAGTTTAATTGTTACAACATCATAACCTTGGCAGCTGTTCTACTGGACTATGCACTAAAGGCCAGTTCCATGCACTGGTATCATACATCCCATCTATGTTTCCCAGATGACAACTAATTAGCGTTTATCATCCAAAGGAATACCGCACAAACCCCATAGATATTCCCTGGAGATGCTGTAACACCCAGAGTCTAGCTAACTGAGCAGGCAAATGGCTCTCTAAAGCAGGCGTACCACTCACTTAAGGCAGCTGAGAATAGAGACAGCTGACCTTGTCTCCATACAAATGCCATGAGCTTCCTTGGCCAGGAGCCTGGGATTCTACGAGCATCTGGCTAAGTGACAACTTGGTACTGACATCAATTACGTAATATTAGATGAAATTTAAACTACCATTGAAAATTCAACTTGAGAAACCCTTACCGCCTTTCAAGTAGCTAAAGACAGCACAATCAAGCTATTTATTAAATAGCAAGAAATAAATATGGCTGACCATTTCAAATGCTGTACTCTCATGACCAAGTTGAAAACATATAAATTGCTATAAAAAGATCTTAGTTTCAGAGACCGTGATTAAGTTTGAGGTACAGTGGCATCTCCACTAACAGCATTAAGAACGGTCTTTAAGCACCACAACAACAAAACCTGTATCTATCAGCTCATGCTCTGGTACTAGAAGTTACAGGAGGTTGTGAGTACATAGTGACATTCAGACCCATAGACTTGCATGTTGCCCACCTGTCACCGCAGCTGGCCAACACGTAACAGGTTTCCACTGAATGAGATCAACTGTAACTGAAGACTGCTTCAGACCTTCTACCACCACCCCCATGGCTGATATTGGGAGTTAATCCACCCACATTAGTCTCGATACTTTATGAAAGTTCCACTTGTTAGATCTTAGCATCAAGGAGCTGGTATCTGTGCTGCTCTCCCACTGCAGGCCTATGTTCATTTTGTATGCCACAGAACACAAACCACTGTTACTTCGTTCCTATATTGGGTCAAGTGTTCACTTGGCTACATACAACACTGCATAACACATTATTTAACCCACTTAAGAACCACCACGTTGCACAAAATACTTTGGGGTTTTTAACTTCCTCATGGTAAGATTTGCACTTACCTGGTCTGCTAACATAAGTACTGTTTTCATCGTAAACCTGCGAGAACAGAAGTTGAACAGGTCTTCAAGGCTGGGACCAAGAAGATCCATAACTAGAACATTGTAATCCTTTTCTTGACCATACCACCTGTAACAAAGAAAATTATTCAGTGTTAGCAGGAATCCTAATGCAGCTCAGGATACCATTAGCCCTCTTGCCTGCAAGGGCACATTGCTGACTGATATTCAATCTTGAAAGCTAACTGATAACTAAGGCTAGAAGTGTCTTATTTTTCCTGGAACCAAAGTCTGAGGACAAATCTGAATACACAAGGTGGCAAGTATATGTGCACACAATTTTCCCTCAAGACAAAACACTACTACACTTTAGCATCAACTGAAATACCAAACTCCAAAATGAAAACGCAATCAAAGCAGAAGCCATTACATGTCAATATACTGAGGTGCGTGTACAAAGTCTGAACTGAAACTCATCTGCAGGCCACCTTATGCTCTCAGTATTGTTTCCTGCATTATTTGACTTCACAGAAACATCTTTAAATGCTTTAGGCTTTGCCTTCTGGTATGACTTCTCTGCAACAGACTGAAGCAGCTCATGCAGTTAACTTGTATGCTACCTCTTTGTTCATCCATCCAAATTTAACAAATGGCAAATTGTACTGTCCTATTAAGTAGAAGATAAAGGCTCTTTACGAGATTTTCTACATCAAAAAGGGAAAAACACTTAAGTGGCATAAAAGCAAAAACCCCAATGTGGAAAAATATCAATTGAAGCCAAACAGACTGATATCCACCCTTAAGTGTCTGATACATGAATTTGAGGCAAAAACTTAAATGTTACCAATGCCATGAGGACAAGCAGGCAGCCTTCCATGCATATTTTCCCTTCCCATTCATGTCTAGTATTCCCATCATGGTATTCCTTTTATGTTATCTGCAACCAGGTGATAGTATTTCACCACCTAAGCTGCCTGAGAAGACCTGGAGTCACACCCTTCACTTCTGCAAATCTCCATACTTTAAAGGGGCACTGAAGACAGAATCTGAATATTCTTCTCTTCTGTCCTGCACATTCCAGGTACCTACAGTTAAGTGATAGGTGTGTGTGAAAAACTGTTTATGAAGTTGTGCTGAGAACTAGTATGTCACTGTAAAGATTCAACACCTTATTGATCAGAAGGCTGCATTTTTGCCTTTGCTAGGCACCTAGTCCTTATGACAAGGACCTAATACCAGCAGTCACGGATAAGGCACTGACCAACTCTCTCCTGGAGGAGTCTTGACATTTCCAACAACAGTGGTGCAGACAAGACACACCAAGAATATACACCGTAAGTGCATGCAGATAAAAAAAAGAATCAAGATTCAGCTCTAACACACACACAACTCTGAGCTGGGGCTCAGAGATCTGTATAGACATTTTATTTCCACTTTAGGCAATGACTCCAGGAAACAAATACATAGTTGTCTGGAAAATAGTTACCACTGATAAAACTGACAAATTCCTTGGTACTCACAGGATTCCAAGCTTAGCCAGGGTAGTAAAGTAAAATGTTTACAAAACTGCAGAGAAAAGATTTCTTTCAGAAACTACCGGCCTGTACCTTCCCACTGTCAGGAATCTCATAGAAACCATGCACTTCATAATGCATTGTTATAAATTTTATATATGAACTGTGGATCATACTAATTGTTTTACAGGTCAGTCTAGGATCATTATTCATTCCCTACATCAAGAGTGGATGCAGAAAATATGCATTTTGAAAGCAGTTATTCAAATGAAATGTCAACAGAACAGTTTTCCTCCAACATGTTAATGATCATATCATTTACTGTAAGTACTATTTAGCAGTCTTTGCCTTCTAAAAAAAAAATCATTGAAAGTACTATACCAACCCTCCCCTCAAACTTACAAATGACTCAACTAGAAAAGCATGCTGATGGTATTATTTGATAAAGTCTGCAATTTATGAAAAGGTTAATGTTCACACTGTAACCTGACACTGAGCCATGAAACCCATGCATTTTGAAGAGACCTGCCTAGCTAGGCCCTTTTAAGGAGTGATCAGAAGCTAGTTTCAACTGCAAGAGCAACCAAGAAGATTTTATTTAAATAAATACAGTGCAGAGATTGAGAAAGTCAAAATGAGATGCTGTTAAGAAAAAGTTCTTAATCAACTCCAAACCTGCTTCAGTTCAAGAATTACTGACTATGTCTGTAAACCTACTTCTTGGTTCCTATCAAAGTCACCTACACAAACGGCTGAGTAGTTTTGACAAGGCTCTATAAACAACTCCATAGGTCACAGCTGAAAATGAAGCATTATGGTCATCTAGAGCAATGAAAACTGGAGCAAACGACCTGTTTGGTTATTCTGCCAAACGAAATTTAGGTTTGTTGTGAGAAAGCCTAAAAAATAACAAGCTGAATTAAAAAATTCTGACTAAGTCAAAATCTAGACAAAATATTATTTTCTTCAAGAAATAGAAGTCCAATTCAGCCACTGAGTGTAATTGTTCAGTGCCCAAGAGACCGCAGTATAAGAGAAAAGGATCAAAGATCAGTCTTCAACTGGGCTAAGAAAATTTAGTTACAGCATCACAGAAAAAAAGTAAAGCTGACGAAAAGGAAGCTCACCCTGGGAGCTACATTTTAAAAAAGCATTTGGTTCCTCTACAGGGAACTGGTTAGTAAGTGCAGTAATTCAGATCAATTGCACAACCTCCATTTGGCCTACTTCTACACATGCACAAGAAAGTTTTGATCTCCTGACCATTTTGCACTGAGGAAAAGCAGAATCAACTCTGCAAGACAAAGAAATAAGGCAGGACCTCTTAACATTTCATTCTCATGTTTACCTGGCTGTAATTCTTCACAGAAGACTGCTGCATCTATTCATTTCACAGCTGGCAACTGAAACTTCTGCTAGGGTATTGGAGTAACTTGCACTTTATTTACTTTGCTAACACTGCAAGTAAATTTTCATTTCCCTTGGAACATTTCCAGGGAAAATGGGATTAAGAAGTAAGGCTACATCATGTCCATTCAAAGTCTAGTACCTGCTACTACTGGCAGGTCTAAGTAAAAATGTTAGAAGTCTTGGCTCTTCTTAGGAAACCTTGGATATTATTATACATAAGAGCTTGCAAATACTCCTTACTCCCATATTTGCATAATCAATGTAAGACAGTATACAAGCACACACTTTGGATGACCACAAATTCAGAGCACTTTGGCATGCAAGTTTTAACACTACTGGGCTAAAGTACAAAACAATATAGCAACAAACAGCACAACTCAAAAAAAAAGCTAGTGTCTCAAAAAGAAAACTTCAGAATTCTAATACTGCATCAGCAATGAAACTTGAACTACTAATATGAAGGAATGATCCAAAGCCCTGGGCAACTATTAGAGTACTCTCTCTCATATTAAAGTTGAGGAAGCAACAGCAGCAATACATTTTAAGCAGGGAGAGTTTTGGAGAGGAGTGAAAAGCGGGAGCAAGGGATTTAACAACTTGACAGTTCACTTTGGGTGGGTAATAACTCTGCATATAGTTACATACAATGTATTATTGTGCTGGGGGAAGAAGGAGGGGACATTTGGAACAATGCCATTTGTCTTCTCAAGTGACTGTTACATGTGATGAAGCCCTGCTTTCCTGGAGATGGCTGAACCCCTGCCTGCCGGTGTGAAGGAGTAAATGAATTCCTTGTTCTGTTTTGCTTGCATGGGCAGCTTTTGTTTTACCTGTTAAACTTTATCTCAGCCCATGAGTTTTCTCATTTTTACTCTTCCAATTTTCTCCCCCATCCCACCAGAGGGGAGCAAATGAGAAGCTGTGTGGGGCTTAGTTGTCAACTGGGGTTAAACCACAACAATTATTTCAAAAAGAAAAGCTAAATTACCACACTAGGAAAACTCATTATTTCTCCAATTCATTCCCACAGTGCTGTATGTCCCATTAGGACATATCTCCTAAATAGAGAATTTTGATTCTGTAGCACAGGACCATTTATACCTACTTATGCCAAAAAACCCACACAAAGTATGAATTATCAGTTTTCCTGAAGAACATCAGGAGATTATCTTATTGAAGACTACACAAAACATTAACAGTACAGTGTTATTATGAAGAGCTAAGATTTATCCTTGAACTGGCAGCATACAATACAGCTGTTAAGAACCCTAGCCTGTATTGAAGCAGTCATCATCACTTTCCCTTGCCTCATCTGTTTAAAGCTACAGATCAAATTACTACAGATCAGTTAGAATACAGTAAATATCCTTTATAAAGCTTTCTGACAAAGCACAGTTAAAGATTGAATACAGTAACCTTAATCTGACTTCAGTAACTTGTCTAATTTGAAAGACCAAGACCCACCATGTCAACAAGTTTCCAAATCATGTGGTTTAGCAGCCTGATATATTGCCCCAGTATAAACACAGCTGAAATTTTGTAACATCTTGAATTTCAGTATTGGTAGCTCTATGCTGAAGAACTAAGTCACATGACAGAGTAGTTTGGAAAATACTGTTTCCAGATCCCACACAGCAAAGCAGGTATGATGCCAGATCACATGACAAGTGAATGTTCACCTGAACTCATGTGGGGTGCTTTTTTAATCCCTTGACTAACCTTGAGACAAGCAAGTGAAGTACTGATGCACATTTAGCACTTTGTAGCAAATAGGTCTACGCGAACTTGAAATCCTTTTCTGCTTTCAGAGCTGCATCTTCCAAAAATTGTATGATGTCTATTTTAGCAACTGTATATTTCACAAATAACGTCAATGACAAAAGAAATGTGTGAGAAAATGTTAACAGCTTTTCTTTGTTTTATCTGAGAAAATATTTCATTGGGTTATTATAATATTCTCTTCACATCTGGTGCGTCTTCCTTTGAAAGGGTCAAATTGAGGTAGGTCAACTAGCAAAGAGAGGTGGGCGAAGGGCTAACACAATTCAGAGACAGGCCATGAAACTACAGGCCCAGTTTCAGACTACTGTACCACTTACACAATTTTAGTAGATAACCAGCAGTTTCATCCATTACATTGGCACTTGTAATTACAACAAGGTAACAAAGCCAGCACAATTATCAAAGCTGTGTGAGCTGGTCACAT